ATGAAGCTTACAAATATACTTTTGATGGTTTCTCTATCTCAATGTTTAGAAATTTAAATGAATATGTTGTAAGACCCACCTCCCAAACGAACTTGCAGGTTGATGAAGTTAAAGGAGATGATGTCATTTGTCTGTCAAGGAATGCTGCTACTCTGGCTGGTTCTCTCTTCACTTTGCATGCCTCTCAAGTGCACATCGATCTGCCAACTCTCACTGAGAAGGATAAGGAGGTCAGAGTCGCTTCTAATCTTTTAATCTCACTGATTCACTTTGTTCCCTCTGTATTACGTTTATGGATTTATTGTTTTGTGTGTTTGACGAGATTGTGTTTATTTGGTTATCCTCTAGGTTATAAGCACATGGGGAGTTCAAAATAAAATCGATTTTCTCTCATTGTCTTATTGCCGACATGCGGAGGATGTTCGCCAGGTATGTATTCTGTTGTGCTGTTCATCAGTTGATATGTTGTACTTCTTTGTGTATGCACTATTAATTCTGATAACCTTGAACTATAACTAATTGTTGTTTTATCACACAGACCCGTGAAATGCTTAAAAAGTTGGGTGACCTTTCCCAAACACAAATATTTGCAAAGATTGAGAATGTAGAGGTAAGTGAAATGTATTGAGTGTTGCTTTGTATGATGCCTCAGTACCTTTATTTCTTTTTCCGTTAAAGTGGAAGCTGCTGATTTTAAATTATATTCAGGGACTAACCCACTTTGATGAGATTCTACAAGAAGCTGATGGGATTATTCTTTCACGTGGAAATTTGGGTATAGATCTACCCCCAGAAAAGGTATGTTGGTTAGTCATTCAAAATTGATTTGTCCAGCACCAAACTTTACACTTTTTTTATAGTTACCTTGGTTGGTATTGTAGGTGTTTTTGTTTCAAAAGGCAGCTCTTTACAAGTGCAACATGGCTGGAAAGCCAGCCGTCCTTACCCGTGTTGTTGACAGTATGACTGACAACTTGCGGCCAACTCGTGCAGAGGCAACAGATGTTGCTAATGCTGTTTTAGATGGTATATTTATCCTTGAATATGCTTCTAAAATTCTTAGCAGAATCTGCTTGGTTTGATAAGTATTATGAATACTTCTGGATCATTGCTTCTGTCATAACTTGGGTTTCTTCTTCCATCTTACTTCCTGCAGGAAGTGATGCAATTCTTCTTGGTGCTGAGACCCTTCGTGGATTGTACCCTGTTGAGACAATATCAACTGTTGGTAGGATCTGTGCTGAGGTAGGCTGTATGATATATTCCCTTAGTATCATTTTGTTGCTTGCATCTTTAAATCCCATGCATCTTGCAACTATGTGGAACCAAATTGTGGCTTGTCATCCGAGTTTTCTGTGACACAGTTTCTTTATCTGTTCATAGGCAGAGAAGGTTTTCAATCAAGATTTGTACTTCAAGAAGACTGTCAAGTATGTTGGAGAACCTATGACTCACTTGGAATCGATTGCTTCTTCAGCTGTAAGTCTGTCTTCTGTGTTGCAGACACGTAAGAAATGATTACAAATATTCTAATCTAGCTTAATTCATGCTTGATCAGGTACGGGCAGCCATCAAGGTTAAGGCATCAGTAATTATATGCTTCACATCTTCTGGCAGAGCAGCCAGGTTCATAGCATTTCTTTTGGCTTAAACTGTTAATTTCGTTTGTTCTAATTGCATTTGTCTTATTAATTTTTTATTCCTTTGATCTACGTGCAGGTTGATTGCCAAATACAGGCCAACGATGCCGGTTATTTCTGTTGTTATTCCTAGGGTTAAAACAAATCAGCTGAAATGGAGCTTTAGTGGAGCTTTTGAGGTATGTTTTCCCCCTGGTCTCTCAAGTTAAGAGATTACACCTTCGTGCCAATTTCTTTCAATGTTAACCTGTGTGTATCTCTTATCAGGCGAGGCAGTCACTTATCGTCAGAGGCCTCTTCCCTATGCTCGCTGACCCACGTCACCCTGTAAGTCTTGTTATCTCTTTTCTATGCATATTATATCTTCCTCTCTATCGGAGAAACACACTATCTCAAAGATACTCTATATTGTGGTACACGAACATCACTCTCTAAGACTTTATGCCTTTGGTATCAATATTGTTTGGTATTCTGTTAAAAAATCCCTGAAACACACTCAGTTTTTAAGCTTTTTTAATAAAACATTGGTGTTGCTTAAGGCGGAATCAACAAGTGCGACAAACGAGTCAGTCTTGAAGGTTGCTCTAGACCATGGGAAGCATGCTGGCGTGATCAAGTCCCATGACAGAGTAGTGGTGTGCCAGAAAGTAGGTGATGCATCTGTGGTTAAGATCATCGAGCTGGAGGATTAACTTGGCCTCACAAAAACATTATAGAACTGGCTGCATTTTGGGTTGCCTTGAATTTGATAACTCCAGTGCCGGAATGAGTATATTATCCCCCGGAACTTTTGGTTTTTTTTTTTTGTACTTAGGAGATTTGATGTCTCTAAGGGTTGCCCTTAGTTTCCGCTATATTTGATTTCCTTCAAATTTAAGCATATGCTATGCTAAAAAGAATACAATGCCTAGCAATTTTATAATAAGCTGTTACATTCCCTATTTTGTTTAATCTCTGTTACAAACTTCTTTCCTTTTTAAGAGGTTTGTTCATCACTTGTTTTAGGCCTGGGCATTTGGGTATTCGGGTCGGGTTCGGGTCGGGTTTTTTGGGTTCGGGTATTTCGGGGTTAGTAATATAGGAACCTAATAGGTATTTATAAAATTTCGGGTCGGGTTCGGTTCGGTTCCTTTTCGGGTACAGGTACTTCGGGTAATGATTTAAGAGATCCAAAAATTACCCAAAATATATTTGGGTATGAGTAGTACCTATCAAAATCTGACCCGAAATTACCCAAAGTACCCATAAATCCGAAACTATTTGTCAAAACTAATAAATTTTTGAAAGAATATATTACTAGTAAACAAATTTAACCAAGTTTTGAACATTTCAAAGATTAAAATCAAACAAGTCACTGACAAAATAAGAAATCAAACTAACAAAAGCATAACTTGAAGTCTTAAACTAATGAAAGTGATTATGAAAATATTTGAGTTGATAAATGGAAGAAACTAAGAAAGAAGAATCATCCTAAGAGGGCAACATTTAACCAAGAATATCCATACATCATGACATGTTACATAAAACCAAACCTTTTAAAAACTAAAAACAATTTTAAACAATTTTAAAAAACAATGACATAGATGAAGTTGCCTCAGCTACTTAAACTCATCAATGAACTTCTTTACATGTAAGGAAACCTAATATTACATACATGTGTTCGAGTACTTAAAAGTACCCACGGGTATGCGGGTTCGGTTCGGGTAATACCCGATACCTATTGGGTATTGAGAATAAAAACCGATCGGGTATTTCTTAAGAACCGAAGTAAAACGGGTTCGGGTATTACAGGTCGGGTTCGGTTCGAGTATTCGGGTTCGGGTATTTTGCCAGGCGTAACTTGTTTACTTAAATTTAAATTAATTTTCGTCTAGTCTACAAGCCATGTGTTAGTGAAACCCTCGTTAGTCGTTAGTCCAATAGTTTCTGATTGTTATGGACAGTACCATTTTGGAAGCTGTACCCCATAATATAGGGGTAACTAATCTAGGACAATTATTAATCGTTAGTTATAAATAAGTTACAAACTATATCATTAAGCACAATGAATGATGATGGTGTAATACTGTATACCAATACCACCAAAGACTAACAATTTATATATCCTGTAGTTTGACAAAAACAAAATTAAACTGAAAAACAATAATAATATTCGTTGTACACCTCCTAAATAGTCTTATTGTCTTATATCAATAATGATTTCTAGTTATGAATTTGAATTTATATGGTAGGTTTTCATTCAATTAATTTCAATTAGTTTTGTATAATATAGTTTTGGGGACCAATACTTTCTATGGTTGGTTGAACATTCAACATTGAATCTGGAATATTTTTCTCCCCCAAATAGTTTAGTGTCTATTTCTAGAGAAAAAAAAAAGATAGTAATTTCTCACGCTCGATCATGAGTTATGATTTATGAATCATGAACTGTGTGACTGTGTGTGAATAGTTGAATAATGATGTTTTTTCTTTGACTTGTACTATTTGATTTTAAATGATCCCGAACTCTCCCCGTCCAGACACAATCCCCCTTGTCTGAAAGAGTGATAATGATGCTCCCAAACACTACAACAACTCGTTGTTAGATTCTTCTTTAAAAGCTAACGGTCTCCGTCCAAACTACATTAACTCATCTCAATCCCACTATTAATCACATGTTGTAAAATATCTATCTCACAACTATTCAAAGAAAAAGGACCTGAAGATTTATTATTTGAAGAAAAATATCTTAATGTCTACATACATATTTTCAACTAACAAAGAGACCCATAATTACCACATAAATAAAAACGTGAATACAAAAGAGTGATTCTTGGTTTCATGGATATCTGCTGCTATTTGATTTGTATTGCTTGTTTCCAATTGTTTTGTCGATTAGAATCGGAATATTTCACTAGTGTGACTCTCTAACCAAGACTAGTTTCATTTTTTTCATATGCGGCAAAACATCATGAAATGAAACAATGTTTAGTTTTAACACAATGAGTTCGTAAAGATTGTTTTTGAGCAAGGATTGAATGAAGTTCATGAAAATATAACTAAAGATCAGTAATCACACGAGAGTGATTATATTGAAACGGAAGCAAACAAAAGTTACCTACATCCTCACTGTTGTTACTTGATACACTTACACAGTTACACGTATAATAAAAAAAATACATATTTTTGGAAAGAATCTTATTTTTGGATTTAAAACATTAATTCCAAAATGCTTTACACCAAATCAAACGGACTTTTCAGGATCGTTCGGCGCTGCCACGTGTCATAAGTATCTACCGTTGGATCTTAACCTTGCACACGTCACCCTTTTCCGCTTCTTTAATTATCTCTTTCCCTCACTTTCTCCGTTTCTCGTCTCCTTCTCCTCCTTCCAAAGATTTTTCCGAGAAAGAAAATCACCACTGAGAAAGAGCAAATACATTCATAGAAAGCTTCATAAGTGCTGTCTTCTTCACCATGGCTATCTAGCGTCATCGATTACGCGTATAAAGCTATTGCGTTTGTTTTTTTTTTCTTTTTCTTTTTTTTTGGTGTGAATAAACGTGTACGGAGCTCTGTGTATTTGTGTAGCTTGGGTCAACTATTAGTAGAAGGAGAACGAGAGGTATTATGGGTTCGTCCTTGTCGAATCTAAACGACGGGACGAATGGTTTGTCTATGGGACCTAGTCTCGGCGATATACCGGAAAGCTGCGTCGCCTGTGTCTTTATGTATTTGACTCCGCCGGAGATTTGCAATCTGGCTGGGTTGAATCGTGCATTTCGTGGCGCTGCTTCTTCCGATTCTGTTTGGGATAAGAAGCTTCCGGCGAATTATCAGGATCTGCTTGATTTGTTGCCGCCGGAGAGGTATCATAGTCTCTCGAAGAAAGATATTTTCGCTGTGCTCTCTCGTCCAATCCCCTTTGACGATGACAATAAGGTATTTTAGTTGTGAGAGTTGCGAGATTGATTGTTGTGATTTTGATGTTTTGGATTTGGGAATTAGGGTTTTTGTAGCTTGTTTTTTGTTTCGTTTGGATGACTTGTTTGTTGTATGAACCCAGTTTTCTATATTGATGGGTATGAACTGTGTGTGTTTGCAGGAACTATGGATTGATAGAGTTACAGGACGGGTTTGTATGGCAATTTCAGCGAGAGGAATGGCTATAACTGGAATTGAAGACCGGAGATATTGGAATTGGATTCCAACTGAAGAATCTAGGTACTATACATACAACCGCTGATTGACTCACAATAGATTTTTGTAAGATCAACAAGTAGATATCGAAGAACGTAGCAATACTTGGTTTGTAATACTGTCATTTGACCTAAGTTTGAGCTGATGATCCTTGGTTTCTCAGGTCATTTTAGAACTAATTATCTCGTAAGTATATCAAAATGAAGCCTTGAAACGTTTCTTCTGTGAGGGTGTCTGTTTGATCAGTGGCCTCTTTTCTCTTAATTTGTGAGTGGATTACTCTCTGTTTTGAACTTTTAATGAATAGCTAACATATGCAATGGCTGCTTTTGCCCAGACATGTATGATAATTGATTTGAGGTGTTATTGTCGTGATGTTTCTTCTCAGACTTGCAAAATGATTAGGCTAGTGACATATGTCTGCATCAGGTTTTGTGTGAGACTGCTTTATACCATAAAACATGAGATAGTTGCTTAGAGTGTTTAGTGTTATAGGTTTATACTCATCAACAGTACGAACATGTAGCTAACCATGTATCAGTTTGTTTTTTGTTTATGGTTGTGGAACAGAACATAAAATCCTTTTTGAATCTTCCGTTGAACAGGTTCCATGTTGTAGCCTACTTGCAGCAGATTTGGTGGTTTGAAGTTGATGGAACTGTGAGATTCCATCTCCCACCTGGTATATACTCTCTATCATTCAGAATCCATCTCGGGAGATTCACAAAAAGGCTGGGGAGACGTGTGTGCCATTTCGAACACACTCATGGTTGGGATTTAAAGCCTGTAAGGTTTTCGCTTTCAACTTCTGATGGTCAAAATGCATCATGTGAATATTACTTGGACGATGTAGAGAGAGACGAAGCACTCGGACAACACAAGCGTGGTTGCTGGATCGAGTATAGGGTTGGAGAATTCATAGTGAATGGGTCAGAACCATCAACTGAAATCCAGTGGTCGATGAAACAGATTGACTGCACGCACTCCAAGGGAGGGTTATGTGTCGATTCAGTGTTCATAAACCCAATTGGTGATGTGAAAGAACACAGAAAGAAAGCTTTTGTGAAATAGCTTGAAGAAAGATGATCACACACAAAAGCTTCTGATTCTTTCAAGGTACAATAATAACTGATGGTTAAAAGTTCTTATTAGTGGTTATGTCGTCGTTTTTTACTGGTTCCCAAAATTAGGGTACATTGAGTCGACGATACGGTAAAATTTTCATTTTATTATTGTGCATTTCATCGAGTTTTTGTATTTACTTCATCATACTCATTTTGTTACATATGTTAGGCGAGAAGACTCTTTTTTTGTGTGTGTATATCATGTTTATAAGTTGGATGTTCAAGATTATGACTTGTCTGTATCCAACCAGGATTATCTAAATTATTGTCTCTGACTAATTTATGACATATTCAATCAGAAATAGTATGCATAGGATTGGATCGAATAATACACGCTATTGTAAATATATATATATGTATAAATATCCAAAACCTGTCAATGAAGCTTATCCAAAAATTCAAATGCTTGAAGCCTTGAGAACTATCAAAAAGCTATATTATCTGAAAAATAGATCAACAATGTCAAGAATTGTTACTTTTAATATATTGTTCTCAAGGTCGGATTCACTAGTTAAAAGATTAACAAAATTGAATTCATTAAGTGAACAAAACTTAAGATTCTCTATAGAAATTTGAACAAATATCATGACGAGTCCAAAAAGAAATGTTACAGAAAAGTATGTCTCAAGACTTCAAAAAAGATGAGATAATAAAGGGAACATAAGGAGGAGACGAGAAGAGGCAAATAGAGTGGTACAGTTGTCTTAGCAGAATTGGGAATGTCCACGAAAGTCTTGGCTAACATTTGACCGAGCAGGACCTGAGATGAAGTGGTCAGATGCAAACCGTCCGGTTCAAGAGGTAGACCCATGGCGTCAACACAATACACGTTCTCAAGATCTGTCTTGAGTTGAGCTTTTCTCACCGCGTCGAGGTATGGTCCTGCCCCTGTCGCTAGTGCCACCTTTTTTTTTTGTTGTTGTTTGGGTCCAAAACAAAACAATACATTAGAAGAATGTTTACTAAATATATATCATACACATTCTAGAATTCTTTTTTGAGGAAAACACCAAAAAGTCAATTTGCATAACACACACAGCTGGATTGGTACTACGATATTTTTTTTTTAGCTACACAGCCTGGATTAAAACAATGACTAGTCACGACTCACTACCGAGAAATAATGGAATGCATTAATTACATTAAACCTGTGAATACTATGTTTTTTTGTTCTGCATGTATTTTGTCCGAAACTGTTACACTATTCCAATATTACTAATCAAAGTTCTACGAACTACGGATTATACCATTAGAGGCTAGATTGTTTTGTGCAACGTACCTGTACGATAGGAAGATTTGGCTGTTCTAAATCACTTCGAAGATCACTAAAAAACTTGACTAGTCTCTTCTTATAAACCGAAGCATCCACCATATCCACCGTATCCGACTCACCTTGATACCACAAAATTCCCCTGTACGAGCCGCCTCCACTACTAGCAACCGCGGCTTTCGCTCTCCTCACTGTCTCCTCGTAAAGATACTCACCCTTTTGCCATTGGCTTAGTTTAGTCCCACCGATAGAGCACGGAACCAAACCCACCTGACCAAACCGGTAAAACAACCGGTCTGCAAATGGCATCCCCGGTCCAATACCATTGGTCTTGTTAACATCAATGTCAACGTGTAGTGGCTCTTTAGCCACTTCCCACTTGAGCTTGGCCGTTAGACGGAGAATCGAAGGGTTTGGTCGGCATTCCAGAGGGATCACACCGTCCCACACGGTTGTGTTTGTAGCGGTATCGTTATAAACTCCACCTCGACCCGCCATGTTGCTTTGTCCGGCCAAGATGAAGATGCTAATGTTCCTTGGGATTCTTTGGGACTGGATTCGTGGTGGAGATTGAAGAAAAATGATGATGATGAAGAAGAAGAGGAAGAATAAGTTCTTGGTCATTGTTTCTTGAAGTCAACTTAAAGTAAACTTGAAGTTTGAGTTTGAGGTTGAGATCCAGATCAGAGTCGAAGTAAGATGCAAGAGAGAATAATAGTTTCCTCTTGTTTTGTCTCTTTCTTCATATTCACTTCAAATATACTTTTGTTTCTTTTCACAGAAAGAAGAATAATTTTGTTTTAGTCAATAGACTCGAAACCTTTTCATACATAAACATGATTATATACAAAAAGAAAAGACTAATGATTTGTGTCTCGATATACTTAATTACTTATATAAGATTTATAAACTTTGATTAAAATAAATAACTTAGCAGTAGGACAACAACGGTGTATATATATAACGTGACGTATAAATAAATATTCATACAAGAATGACGTAAACCTTAAATCGAGATCCCCATTTAACACATGGAATTTTTTTGGAAGTTCATTGGATACTTTGTTCAATGTCATAGTTTTTCTCAAGAAAATCGAATCAAACCCAAAACTAACCAATTAAGGGGAAGAAATTGATTTAACAGGTCAGAAAATAATAATAATAATAGAAAACTTGGTGATCTAAGTGACGACACAATGAGTAAAAAATATTAGATCGCCACATGTACAAATCATTTACGATTCGCTTGTTTATTTCCTCAAAGATCTGTAATGTATATTACCAAAATATTGTATGAAAAAAAACAAAACAACTAATGACAGACCAAAATAAGAAGAAGAAGAGAAAATCAATGATGAGCGAATATGCAAGACTCTTCCCTAATATTGCCATATAGTAACTAAATTTTGGCTTTAGAGAAAAACTTCGAACGTTTTCAAAACATTTTACAAACTATTGGGTAAATCTCTCTTTGTATTTTGGAGAGATAGGCTGTAATCTTCTGTTGGAATGAAATATTTCTATTTGAACATAACCACTTGCACCAAGTTCTAATATCACACATGACATCTACTTACTAAAGAGGAATAAATTATAGGCTGTTCAAGAAACGTTTTGAGCTCTCCCATGTTCACTAGGAACAAGAAGTGAAACACATCGTACTAAACACAGCAGATTATGTATGATTAATACTTAATAGGGATAAAAAAATATTAAAGTAAATTATATAAATATATCAAGACATAAGCTATAAATTAGATAAATATAAAAGAAAATGAAGGTTTATAAATACTAATAAACCAATATACATGTAACTGTAATTGCTGTTACTGACTTCTATTTTCTTTTTCCAAAACCAGCACATGACAAAAACTCAGAAGATAGCATAAAAATGACCAATTAATCAAACCTTTGATTTTTCTACTTTTTTTTATAATGCAAACCTTGGTTTGATGCACATTTCTGTAAACGATGTAACAGTTGTAACCTCTAACCTTTGAAGCAGGTTGTAATCTCAATACTTGTAACATCTTCTTACATTCCACATGACCTTTTGAAGCAGCCCTCATCTACGACTTTACAAGTACTTTGGCATGCAATCTCTATTGAAATCGTTGCGAGGTTTGCCACAAAGGGTGATGTGGAATGTAGATGATCATCAGTCTATAATATTCTATGGCCTTAGCACCTATTGAGGCCGGTTGGTTCTTCTCTCTATTCTCACTTCATAAACAAGTTTCATCTCCGAGAGTAAAATATATTTGTTGTGTCCCAAGAGTTAGAGAATTCTGATTGGATATCGAAAAAGGGGATTGTCTTCTTTGATTTGCGATCCATACATAGTCCCATAGATCGTATGGGTCGGAAACAAAGACGACAATCCCTTGATTGATAAAGATTGATTGTAGATGGAACATACAAAGAGGAGGAACCAAAATCAAAACAAAAAAAAAAAAAAAAGTAAGGTGTAAGAATGGTGGTAATGTGGTAAGACCGTAAGAGTTCTCATTTTCGTCTTCCTTCTTCCTTTTTGCATTCCTTTCCTCCTTTATATAAATAAATGTGTCTCATGCGCAAATTTTATATGTACCTAATTAACCCAAGGAAAATCATTTTGGCTTTGAATTGCATACTTTTATTATAATGTTAAAAATTCATTAGAAATAATAATAATACTAATTAACTCAACAAAATTATATGGATTTCATACCCACATCTAAGCTATATAAATCCATAATTTCTTAGTAATAATTTTAGCACCAAATTATCCAAGTTTAGATGAAAAGTGTTGTTTTACCAAAAAAAAAAAAAAAACAGATGTAAAGTGTTAAGAAAAAAGATTTAGCTAAATTTTTTTTTTTTTTGAAATCTTAAACCTTTTAATCATATTAATTTAGTTCGATTAACCATAATTATACTTCATTTTTAAATCGTTTTCTTTTAAAACCGTATTGATTAAATTTAAAAATAAGACAAAAATATGCCTTGTCTCTTGTTAATATTTTTTCGTTTATAATGATTTTCTTTCAAACAAAGAGCTCCATTTCCATCATATCTCGAATGTATCGAAACGTGTACTTGGGAAATGAGAGAGTATGGCATTTTTGGGGGACAAGGATCATGCATGAATACAATACTTTCTCCAATGACATATGCTATGTTTTGCCCCGTGAGAAATTGTCCATAAGTAAATTTATTGCGAAACTTATTACTAACCAATAACAAACATAATTCTAAATTGCAACTTCTGGTGCAATCCGTCAAAATTGAAGTCTGAAGATGTCATGTGCACAACAATCCTGCATTAATATTAGCAAAACAAAACTGAAGATACAACCAGATAGTTGTAGAACAGTAGTTGAAATTAGAATGTACTAATGGGTAACATAGTTAACGCCAATTAGAATAGACTATTGAACATAAACGCCATAGCAATCCCAAACATATGATCAGAGCCGTTGGCGTTTTGGAATGTTCAAATAATTTCATGAAACAGCAAAACTCTTCCGAATATACTGATGTGAGAGAGAGTGGTAAAATGAAGTTCATAAGCAGCAAAACTCTTTAAGTCTGAGATTATAAGAGTTGCAAAAGAGACAAAAACGAATAACAAGGTTTTACGTTTGGCATAACATACTGGAATCAACATCAACTATTAAAAAAGTAGCCACTAGCAGAAACACAAAGTGAAAAATATGGCTAGGCTCTTCAACGTTTGCCACCACCACCTCCCAACTTAGGACCTTTTCCTGCAGCTGCGGCTTTGGGGAAATTTGCCTTGACCTTCTGTTGCTTGGATGCAAATTCTACCTTCTTAGCCTTCTTTTCATCTTTTGTCTTTTTGATTCTTTCCTTGATCTCACTGTTCAATCAGCACAATTCATCTAAAAAGTCAATTACATTTCTTAAAATACATTTCAGAGTTGAAAGATTCAAAAGTGAAATAACACTAACCGGAGAGCAGCTTCTCTGGCTGCATCACGAACTTCTGGCTTCTCAGCTCTCTTCTTCTGAATAACCTCTAAGGTAGCACCAACAATGGACCTTGAGTATGGCTTCTTGGTGGCACGTCTTCTTCTCTTCACAGCCTCTTGAGCGGCATCCTATATAAATGAAACAGAATTATATAAGTATACTTGTCCGGGTCAAATCCTAATGCCTAACAGCAATAAGAGCTTACAGCCCACAAAACATAATAGAAACTAGAGCAAAACAATTAAGTTTTACCTTCTTATGTTGTTTCCTGTACATGGCAGTCCAGGTAAGCTTGGATGGCTTCAACTTATTGTGGAAGTACCTCTTGCATTTCGAGTTAGCAAACAAGAAAACCTGATCCACCATGAAAAACCAATGTCAACCATTAAGAGACTAGAATCTAATACATCTGGAGCTAGTAGAGATCAATTTCATAAACTCAGGATTCAAAAAGAAGCTAACCTGAGAGTCAGATCGGATAAATCTAATTCCCCTTCCTGGGTAAATCTTCTGCCCACTGAAACGACAAAGTTCCGTCCTGTATTCCAAAGATTACCACCAAATGAGACATGGCAACTAGATACAAACAAAGCAAATGATCTTTGGTAGTGAAGTATCTCAGTCTACATGATAGAAATGAATCATCTAATACCAAATAGACACCAATCATAGAACCCAGATCCATTTATAGCAGACCACAATTTAATCTTCATACACACAAAAAAACAAACTCTGACTACCAAACTAAAGCAGAGAGCGAATAAATATCACAAATTCCGATTGAAACAAGGAGCCAATCCGGTAAATGATTCTCTCCGGTAGTGTAAAGTCACGAATCATTACACTACGCGATGCCAATTACATTCAATAGAGGAACAGAAACAGAGAGAGATAGCAGATTTGATTACTTGAGAACCATGGTTGCTGCTGCTCCTCTTCGTCTTCGTCTTCTTCTTCCTGCTCAGGCTGCTCCCGGAAACCCTAGACTAGAAAACCCTAATTCAATCGATACTTATATATAAGAGACTACTACACTAACCCAAAGCCATTTTCGTGTATTTATAATACGTAGGCCCATACTTGCAGCCCATTAAATATGGGTATTAAAGAGGCCCGTAATTTTCTTAGCCCATATACTATTGTAGTGATGACGTCACATCTTCGTCCAATCATTTTTTTTTTCCTATAGCCGACGAACCTGTCAATGGACATAAAACGGCGACGTTTCGTAAAGGTAGATGAAAGAAGTTTGAACCAAGTAAGCCAAGCTCTCTCTTCTGCACAAGCTTCCAGAAAGAAAGAGATCCAAAATATTGGATTCAATCGTCGCCGGATATTCCAAGAGTAGAGACTAGATAGGAAAGATTAGTTCGTCTCCCGTCGCGTCTAGATTGGTGGATATGGAGGCGGAGAAGTGGAACAGCGACGGTGGTGAATACACGTCGGAAGACGAAGGAACGGAGGATTACCGGCGGGGAGGTTACCACGCCGTACGGATCGGTGACTCGTTCAAAAACGGCCGGTATGTTGCCCAGAGCAAACTCGGTTGGGGCCATTTCTCTACTGTTTGGCTTGCCTGGGACACTCAATCCTCTGTACGCACCTCTCTCTCGCCATTTTTTTCTATACGAATTGCTTGAAGCTAATCCTTAGATGGATTCGTAGTTAATTAGATGTTGGAAAATCGAATTTATTCGTTTTACTCTGTGTTGGTTAGGAACTAAGTTCAGATTCTTGCTCAATTAGTGAACTAATGGAAATTGTAATCTTTACTCCTTATTTGATTTGAATTTTGTGTATGTGGAGATGTTTGAACCCATTATTTGAAATGCTTTAGATATTGATTTCAGTGTTTTATTTGTGTGATATGTACAGAGATATGTGGCTCTAAAGGTGCAGAAGAGTGCTCAGCACTATACTGAGGCTGCCATGGATGAGATAACTATATTGCAACAGATTGCAGAGGGGGACACTGATGATACCAAATGTGTTGTGAAGCTTTTGGATCATTTCAAACACTCAGGTCCGAATGGGCAGCATGTATGTATGGTTTTTGAGTATTTGGGCGATAATCTGTTAACGCTGATAAAGTATTCTGATTACCGTGGCTTACCTATTCCGATGGTTAAAGAGATTTGTTACCACATGTTGGTTGGATTAGACTACTTGCATAAGCAGCTCTCGATAATACATACTGATCTGAAGCCTGAGAATGTTTTGTTACCGTCAACGATTGATCCGTCTAAAGATCCCAGGAAGTCCGGAGCTCCTCTGGTTCTTCCCAATGATAAGGATAAGACAGTTGACTCCAATGGGGATTTTGTCAAAAATCAAAAGACAGGAATTCGTAGAAAGGCAAAGCCTTCAGCTCAGGGAGATGCTGAGACTAAAGGCAATAATGAATCTGACAAAGTCCGTGGACCGGGATCACCAGTTAATGGAAAATCAAGTGTTGCAGAAAAATCAATAGAAGAAGATTGTCCTTCTACTTCTGCCACAAATGGATTAGATGGTAGCGAGAAAGGAAAGCAAGGCGGTAAGAAAGGGAGTCGATCAAGTAGAAGGCACCTTGTGGCATCTGCTGACCTCAAGTGTAAACTTGTTGACTTTGGTAACGCATGTTGGACATACAAACAGTTCACAAGCGACATCCAAACAAGACAGTATAGGTGTCCAGAAGTAATTCTTGGATCTAAATACTCTACATCTGCAGATCTCTGGTCCTTCGCTTGCATATGTTTTGAACTTGCCACTGGAGATGTACTTTTCGATCCTCATAGTGGTGATAATTATGATAGAGACGAGGTATGCTCAAGTTCCTGATGTCTATGTGTTGTGTGGTATCCTCATAGTTTTGGCTTTCTCTTATCTTGTCTTGTGGGATTATAGCTTAGATCGTTTTAATTTCGTTTATGGGAGTTTGGAGAATCTAATTGGCCTTTTCTGCTACAGGACCACTTGGCTCTGATGATGGAGCTTCTTGGGATGATGCCACGCAAGGTAGCAGAAGCATCAGCAGACAATTTGAGTTAAGATAATTGTTTTGACTATTCAAGCTCCAACTTTTTTCTTTGTTGTGTGTTTGCAGATAGCATTAGGAGGCCGCTACTCCAGAGATTTCTTTAATAGACATGGGGATCTTCGGCACATCAGAAGACTGCGTTTCTGGCCGATGAACAAAGTCCTGACCGAAAAATATGAGTTCAGTGAGCAAGATGCAAATGATTTGAGTGATTTTCTTGTTTCGATTCTTGATTTCGTCCCAGAGAAACGACCAACTGCGGCTCAGTGTCTATTACATCCCTGGATCAACTCTGGTCCTCGCTCTGTAAAATCTTCACTCTTATCTAAAGATGAAAAATCCGAAGACAAGCTCGATACAGAGAGAAAGAAGACAGAGAATGAGGAGCAAGAAGCTATGGAAGTTAAAATGGGGAACGTAGCTATATCATCCTCAGACTCCAAACCAGGTACGAGCCAAAGCTCCTCTCTTAAGCAACCAATTTGACTTCTGAGATTTGTAATTTCGATATCTGAGTTCTGTTCTGTAATTGAGCGAGGGAAACTTGAGATTTTAAAAGTCGGCTGTATCAGTGAGAGCACGAGTGAGAACCACATCAAAAGCTGTTTAATAGAAAGACTTGAGCTCTTCAACAGTCTATATATGCAGTCTCATATCCTGATTGTGTACTTATACGAATCCAATACCAAATTATTTACATATATCGTAATTAACATATTTGACTATCATCTTACAAAACCACTGATTAACTATTGTCTAATTCCTGTTTCCGGTTTGGTGCTAATGTTATCACACCATTACGTAGGCGGTATTGGTAAATTTATGATCATAGTTTAAATTTATGCGTAACGGTAGAGAAAAGGAAACAACAGGTAAATCACAAAAAGGCCTAAGAGAAAAGTAGTTTTATTACACAAATCTGAGATTGAAAAACAAAAAAAAAACATGATCAAACAAAAGCAAGAAACATTTTATCTTCTTTCACATAAAAGCAAACGCAGGCGTTACTATTACATCACAGCTTTCCTTTCTCTTCAACGACGACTTTGCCTCTCCCTTCATCTTCATCCATCTCCCCAACATCGTTAAAAGTTTGACCAGTCATCTGATCCGACGTTTTCAGGGTTGTTGCCACATGTCCAGGCCTCGTATCTTTCACGTCAACCGTCACAGTTGTCTTCCCCGTACCTTCCGTCGCCGCCCGTCTCTCATCATCAGACTGCGTCGTGGCACCGGTCAGCTTGCTCTTTATCGCTCCCGTCATGTTCCCCAACGCGCCCATTATGGATCCCTTCCCTTCTTCACCTCTACAAAAATACAATTACAACTAAGTAAAAATTTAGGCCCTTGGATCAAATCCAAATATATTCTAAGTGTATCATGTTCTATACGGCTATACCTTTGGGCAACGGAATCCTTAGTCTCATGGGCTTTGTCAGCCGCCGATTCTCTGCTCTGTTGCGTCTTTCTAGAAGCATCCTCTTCAAGTTCTTTGCCCTCAAGTTTCATCTCTTCCATCTTTCGCCTTGCTTCTTCTCCTGCGTCCTCCATTTTCTCCTATTAATTAACAATACAGGTCATTTTAGTTACCAACTACGCATATCTACATACATTTAACTATTCTGCTAGTCTATTACCTTGGCCGTGTCTTTGGTCTCAACGGCCTTTTGTTTGGTTTCCTCTGTCTTGCCAGACAAGAAACCCATAGCTCTCTTTGCCGTGTCCACCGCACTATCCTTTAGTTCACCAATCTTACTCACTCCCGCATCTTTCCCTTCCGTCGCCTTCTCTGCCGTATAGTCTTTATATTCACCCATTTTCTCAGCCGTCTTATCTTTTGCTTCCCTAGCCTTATCCGCAGTGTAATCCGCAGTTTCCTTTGCTTTTTCTGCCGTCTTATCTTTGGCTTCTTTCGCCTTATCGACGGTGTAGTCCTTATACTCGCCCATCTTCTCTGCAGTCTTGTCTTTGGCCTCTGTTGCCTTCTCGACAGTGTAATCTTTGTATTCTCCCACTTTCTCCGCCGTCTTGTCTTTAGCTTCTCTCGCCTTCTCTGCCGTGTAATCTGCGGTCTCCTTTGTCTTATCCGCGGTCTTATCTTTTGCTTCTCTCGCCTTCTCTGCCGTGTAATCTGCGGTTTCCTTAGCCTTATCCGCTGTCTTATCTTTAGCTTCTCTCGCCTTTTCAGCCGTGTAATCAGCAGTTTCCTTTGTCTTCTGCGCAGTACTGTCTCTAACCTGTCCGGCCTTCTCTCCGGTGGCGTCTCTCATCCCCGCTGCTTTCTCCGATGCAACACCGGCTCCATCTCTGGTAGAATCAGCCGCATCATGGCTTTTACCGATCACTGCTTCCTTCGTTCCTTGCACCGCCTTCATCACCGAGCCAATTAGCCCTGGCCTCTCCGGCTCGGTCGTCGTTGTCTTCTCCGTCACCTTGTACGTCACATCCCCTCTGTTGATATCTTTCAAATCTTCAGCGGCTAGACTCGCCGCGGCCTCAGCTCTCTCTGACTTCGCGGACCTCTCTGCCTCCCGTTGTCCCGATGCCATGGTTTTTTCTTTTTGTTGTTGCTTGGATTCCAAGAAAGATGTTTTATTTCTATAAATATTTCGAATACTCGCAAGTGTTAATGAGCGTTTAGAGCTGCTTGTTGGTTTTATAGGAAATGTTTTGGTTATAACAAGACGCCACGTGATGACATTGATAAAGCAAAAGTTGCCACGTCTGTTCTGGCCTTTTTCCTCATTTTCCGAATTCATTCATCCAAATACCCTTTCTGCGCGACACGTATCTGAGACGATCGTCCTATTGAGAGGCCATGCCACGTGGGCTTTTCATGCATCGAGAGAGCTTGGACTTAACGTGTAAGGAAGTGACTATGGTCGGCTCTCACATACTTCTTAATTTCGTACTCACATACCTCTAAATTGTGTACTACGAGTATTTAAAATGGATGTTCCTTTTTCTTTCTTTCAATTATTTGTGTTAATTTAGAGAATTTGTCGCACCAAAATCGCATAACATCCCACAATCGAGAGGTAAGCAGAACGAAATCCGTATCGACGAAAAGAATAGAAGTACCTTAATTCATACTGACGTACGTTTTCACTGTAACTTCATAATTTAGGGTCGAGCAGAAAATAATAACGTTAATTAAGATCCTTCTAAGTGTAAAATATATAGTTATTACATAATTTGTTCAATTGACAGAAAAAGGTAAATTTTCGATAATGTAGTTTTGGGAATTTTATACAATATTTTTCATTTTACATAAGACAGTTTAACCGCTTTCACGAATCATTTAAAAATGTTTTTTACATTTTACATTTTTGCTACTGTAAATGCAAACTTCTTTTTTTTTTTGTGGACAGAACCTATTAATGATTGGCTATTTTTAAGTAATCGTAGAAAAGTCAAAAAGTATTATCATTCACTAACTTATCCGAAAGCCAAGTAAAAAATCAAGGGGAAACTTTCCGACCACATCGACAGCTCGAAATTACCTCTCATATAAATAATTCAAGAAAATCCATTAATAGTTTTTTCATTCTTTTTGATAATTTTATGAGAAATGGGAACTTCACATTGCCGTCGTCTTCATGGCTTTATTTTGCTTTTTGTTATGTTTCTTTCCTCTGTGGTTAGTCTAGCTTCAAAGATGGATCACGTTACTTTCCATGGTGACCGCCGGAAACGTAGTCTTTCTGGCTCCAGTGATTCCTCTCTTAGTGAGTCTGGTGGATATAAATTGTGCGTGACTCATAGAGAGGCTAAGGATGGTAAACCAATGCCATTGGATTTTGATTGTGAGAAAGGAGATGTTATCTCAAACATCACTTTCGCCGACTATGGTCAAGCCACTGGTACCTGTGGTAAATTTAAACGCGGTAGTTGCGGAGCTAAGAATACCTTGAATATCGTCAGAAAGGTAAATCAAATCAAATCAACATTAGTAATATTTATTATTTTTTTCCAAATAGTGTTCTTAATTATTGTTATCGTGTTTGTTTTTTTTTTTTTTTTGGGTGCAGAAATGTCTTAGGAAAGAGAAGTGTAAGTTGTTTGTTCCGGACAAGATTTTTGGTCCGAGCCACTGCAAGGGACCTGTTAGACTCGTTATTGACGCTACTTGTCGGAAAGCTTAGTTTTTTTTTGGTTTTGTTTCCTACGTAGTAACGTACTTTACACGTTTTGTTTCAGATTCCAAAGGTTGAACTCCTTTCCGAGTTCAACTTTTTCTTTTCTGCTTCGGTTAATTTGAGTTTGATTAGCCCAAGTCCTTTGTAACTTTTTTTTTCCTTCTTTGATAAAAATTCTTTTGTAACTGATTATAAAGAGTTTCTGATAATTAATAAAGCGTGAGTAGGCAGTAGTTAGTTGTTTTCAAATTCTATATATGCGTTCTATATTCTCTTAGAATCAACAAATACAAGATATATATATATACTATTGGTGATGAAGATACATGCATAAATAATGCATTGTTTCAATTGAGCTAGCTGTGTTACAAAAGCAATGACATCCAAAAAAAAAAAAAAAAGCAATGACATCCGTTACGGTTAGACAAAAACCATAGGACGCATATGTTGTTGGCAACATCTGCTATATGTTTACCATGTTTTGTATGATTTCTTGGTATATGTTAGTCACCATCTATTTTCTATGTATTAGCCATGAGACTGATCTTAATTTGCGTAGTTATTGCAATGTTTTTGTTTTTCAGACCAATTATTTTCAGAATTTTGAACACCATTGTCTTTAGGCACCAAATATTGGAAGTAGACGAATGAATAATTTTTTTTTCTTTGATATGAGAATGAAATTGTTATAAAACGTAATAAATCCAAAGATGAATACTAATTAGTCTTCCGGCCTTCAATAAAGTTCATAAGCAGAGTACGTTGGTAGTGGAAAAGTAAGAAGAAATGTCATTTCACCAACACCTCCTAATGCCAAATTTAGAACAAAATTGAAACAACAAATTGATAGAAAACTTCGCAACCACATCCGCAAACAAATTCGCATCTCCAAGAATATGAGACTATCATATTATTATTTTAGTCTAAATAAAATATCTAAACATTACATATTTATATTTAGCCAGTTATAAGTAGCTATCTTAGCATTTTTCATTATCTTTCTGAATTATAAGGGAACAAAAAAAAGTAGAATGAAAATGGAAACTACTACACATTACTGTCTTTCTCGTCATGGATTCATCATTTTGCTTCTTGTTACGTTAGTTTCTAATTACGTGTCTTGTTTAGATTCAAGGATCAACGGTTCTTATGATAACACAAGAGACATCATAATCCACCGTTATAGGAAACGTGTTCTCTCCAGTTCCAAATCTGGAGAACCGAATCAACAGCCACTGTGCTTAGAGACACCGGGGCCTAAAGACATAGTGCCCATCTTATGTGTTGATGGATATGTTATTTCTGATATAAAATTCGCCGACTATGGCCAACCCACTGGTGACTGTGAAAGCACATTTAAACGTGGAAACTGCGGTGCACCTGCTACTTTGAGGCTCGTCAAAAAGGTCTAATCTAAACATATATTTTGATAATCTATTTAATTTAATTTCAATGAAGTATTAGTACAGCCTATTATATCTTATCTTATGATGAATTATTGTTCTTGTTTATATGCAGAATTGTCTTGGAAAACAAGAATGTTATTTTCTACTGAGAGACGAGATGTTTGGTCCGACCCATTGTAAAGGACCTGTTCGTTTCGCTTTTTCCGGTTCTTGTAAGAAGAAAAGAAAAAATTAACTTAACGGATTAGTGAAGTTGTTGTTGCTGATCATATTTGTAGAGTGCATCTTTTATTTGGTTATTTGTTTTGGACTCTTTAATTTTCCTCTCCGATTATGCATAAGAAAGAGTGTTATAATCAAATATGCTATTATCAAATCAGCTATGAAAAGATATACCAGCCAACAAGTAATTAAAGCTTAGTGTTGTGTAACAGTGTAAGAGGGACTACAGATAACTTAATTGGTAGTTTGTACTAATTGTGTCAATGTGATCGATATTGACTTCCCATCCGTATACAAATCGGCATAATTCTGCATTTAAGAAACAAAGATGTATTAGTTGTTTTGATATTAAGGAAAATAAAGTAGAGAAAGAACACAAAATATTCAAATATATAAAAAGACTTAAATCACCACATCCATATTTCTTAAAGAAATAATTTTTCACCTAGCCAAATAAAGTTTGGAGCAAATTTTTTTTTTTAGTCAGATTTACTGTTGGTGCACAAAACCTTATCTAAAGAAGAAGGTCAATTTTCAAACTTTCACACACCAACTCTTCATAACATTAAAATAGGTTTACGCATATGATTTATATATGTCTATAAACATAGCATATGTACATGGGTAAGTATAATAATACAATCAGTTAGCTAGACAAGAGCCTGAAGATGTATGTGTGGGATGTGATACCAATTAACTATCTATCTTTTTTTTTACGAAACTAATTCAATTATCTTCTGAATATGCAAATATTGGTTATTTAGTTATTTAGTAATCGTGAAAAAGTCAGAATGAATGTCCTTCACCAACACCTCCGAAAGCCAAGAAGTATGAAAAATGAAAGAAAAAATAAGAAAATACACACGTAAGTAGTCTGCTTAGTATTTTCATTATCCATCTGATTTTGTAAGCGAGAGCCAAAACAAAACAAAAATGGAAACTTCACATTATCTTTGTCGTCATGGCTTCATCATTTTACTTCTTGTTATGTTTCTTTCATCTCTTTCGAGTCTTGCTTCATCAAGAAACAACGGTTCTTTCGATGCAAGAGGCACTCAAATCGACAGTGATCTAAAACATATAAACTCCAATTCAAAGTCTGGTGGATCGTCTCCGCCTCCACGGGGCAAAGAATATCCTCTGTGCGGGTTAAATAAACCGTCTGAGGATGGTATCATATTCGCACCTTTTGCGATAAAGGATATGTGTTTTCGCAGATCAAATTTGCCGACTATGGTCAGCCCAGTGGTTCGTCATGTGAAACGCTTAAACGTGGAAACTGTGGTGCGCCTGCTACTTTGAGACTCGTCAAAGAGGTTTTGTTTACAAAGTTAATTACTCAACAACAATATCAATTTGTTTAACGTACGATAAGACTTTTCTTATTGAATTTGTTAATTTATTGTATTCATGCAGAATTGTCTTGGAAAAGAACGGTGTAGGATTTATATTACAGACGAGATGTTTGGCCCGACGCATTGTAAAGGACCTGTTAATTTCGTTTTTTCTGCTATTTGTAAAAAAAACTTAAAAGTTTTCTTAATTGTTTCCTACGTTAAGTGAAAGTTATTCTTTGATTATAACGTTTTTTTTTTCTTTCCTTTATTGTTTTGATGCAACGCATCTTTATGTTGTTGATTTAGAGTACGGAATACACCAAATTAGGACTTTTATTTCCTATTCAATCTTTGAAAAATATATATATTTGAATTTAGACCTAGCTTCTCATGGTTGACAAAAAAAAAAAGACCTAGCTTCTCATGCCTAGTTTTCCTACGTGTGGATAAGAGATATATCCATATAGTGTATATATTGTAATGAGCTGTGGAGTTTAACTGGAAACCTGATGATATATTTTACCGCACACTCTAAGAATCATATCTGTTCAACGACACAAATCTATGTTTCAAGGAGTAAACACGAGCTACTAGCTAGTATTCATATCGTTCTTCACTTCATGGATATTTTTTTCGTCATGCTCATGAGCCTCTTGAAAAATACATTTTTTCCTGTGATTTTAATATTATAGAAGATGAAGCTGGAACTCTCAAAATAATCAACGTAACTAACCCAAAAAAAAGAACTGCAGAATAATTTGTGGAACGTTCTTGATTAGTCAAAAACTGCGGGATAACGTTTCCGAAACCTTAAAATTAACGTGAAAAGTTTGTAACCTTAAAATAAAATTAAAATCACTTTTATTTTACTGTGATGGATACAAATATATAAGAGCAAAATTATAAGTTTGTAACCTTAAAATAAAATTAAAATCAATTAGAAGAGACAAAACTCTAATATAGATCAACGGATAATTGTGAAACAAAATAAAATCTGTTTCCAAAAGTTTTTTTTTTTGTTTACTTTTTTCCTTTTTTCCACTGAAAACGCAAATTAATACATAATCGTGGAAAAGTCAGACTCATGTCCTTCACCAACACCTCCGAAACCCAAGAATTAGTAGAAAATTAACAGAAAAATTTGTGGATACTCTTCCGCACATGAAGTCGTCTCTCAACAAACTTTAATTATCTAAGTTTCAATGAAAAAAAAAAAACTTACCTATATATATAACTACGTCCTTGTAGTAGCATATATGTAAATAGCATTTTCACTACACAAACAAGCAGTAAGATGGAAGCTACTACTCATAGCCGTCGTCATGGCTTCATCATATTAGTTCTTGTTCTGTTTCTTTCCTCTTTGTATTGTTCAGCTACAAAAATGGACGTAAATCATGATACAAGAGGCATCAAAGTAGAAGTTGGCCTAAAACATAACCTCTCTGATTCTAACCCTCGTAGTGAGTTTGGGAGTTCTTTTCCTACGTTGGGAAATGACCAGATTCCAGTTTGTCGTCACCAAAACAGGTCTAGGGCCCCTGTATTGATATTTGATTGCAAAGAGAAAGGATATGTTTTCACAAAGATCAATTTCGCCGACTACGGCCATGCAAGTGGTGATTGTGGTAACTTTAAACGCGGCGATTGCGGCGCACCGGCTACCTTGAGGCTCGTCAAAAAGGTTTAAATTCATCCTTCTAAGAAAACATTAATAGTATCTTAACATATTGATTTGATTGTACGTACCAGTACCCAGTTCATTATGATGGTTCACACCTTTATTTTGATGGAGAATGATATTTCAAGAAATCTTATAAATTATTATTATTCGTGCAGAACTGTCTTGGGAAATGGCAGTGTGTGCTTTTTCTGGGGAGAGGGGACGAGATGTTTGGTCCGACGCACTGCAAGAGTCCTCCTTGGTTTGTTGTTGAAGCTACTTGTACAAAAACTTAGGATTTTTCTTCTGCTTAAGCGTCTTTTCAAGTGTTTCTTTATAAATTTTTTCCGAGTCTTGTTATTAATTTTTACTAGGGTTCGTACTCCCACAAATTTGTGGAATTTTGTATTATTCGTTAGATCGACTAAATTATAGTACCGTTTTGTTTCATATTTTCTGACTCGAATTCTAATGATTTAATTTTTTAAAAATTAAGTCAGATATTTCAGTTCAAATTAAAGAAAAATACACAAACAATAAACCTCATTAAGCTTAAAGAAATCAAGCTCAATGTGAAGAGAGGATTGAGTGTAAAGAGAAGAGATTGAATCGAACCCAAAACTCAATGAAGTGTGCGACTAAAAAAGAAATATGTATGTAGTTATTGATATATTATAAGAGAAAAGAAATAATAGCTAAATAATTGATTTTTTCCTTTTCTTGTAAACATGACATATCCAAATAAATAACGTACAACCAACAAGCCAAAAGTTCTAAAAATCTAAAAAACTAAAAAACTATAACGGATGGTTGTGAAAAACTTCTTTTATTCTTCACTTATCAAACATAGTAGTAGTAATCTATTAATAAGTACTCGTGGAAAAGTTCAGAAGGAATATGTCTTTCCCTAACACCTCCGAAAACAAAGAAATAATTGAATTGAAGAAATATAAATACAAATTGACAGAAAAATTTGTGGCCACATGCATCTACACACGAATTCGCCTCTTCAAAACTTAAGTTTTGATAAAAGAATAAAAAAAAAAAAGAACCTATAACTACATCATAACGTTTTCCATTTATTTTTTCCTATAATGAGAACAGAAAAAAATGGATACTTCACATAGTTGTCGCTGTTATCATGGCTTCGTTTTGCTTCTTGTCCTGATTTATTCCTCTGTGTTTGGTTTCTCTTCAAAGATTGATGCAAGAGGGATCAAAATCAACGTTGACCAAAAACGTTTTCTCTCAGATTCCAATCACCACCCTCGTAGCGAGTTTATGGGATCTCTACAAAATGGCAAGGAACATTTAGCGTGTACTAATCATAAATCTGTTCAAGGTCCGGTAACGCGTCTGTATTGCCGGGACGGATATGTTATCACCAAGATCAATTTTGCCGACTATGGCAATCCCACTGGTACATGTGAAAACTTTAGACGCGGCAATTGTGGCGCACCAGCTACCTTGAGGATCGTCAAAAAGGTTGCCAAACTTAACTTAAGTAGCACTATGATCTTTTCTTCATGTGGAGTAGTAAGTATTAATTATTTTAATGCATCTTATCGTTGGTATTATTTGTGCAGAATTGTCTTGGAAAACCGAAGTGTGTATTTTTAGTTACGGATGAGATGTTTGGTCCGAGTCATTGCAAGGGACCTCCTACACTCGCGATTGACGCCACTTGCACAAAAAACTAGCTAGGTTTCATGATATTCCTACTAAAGGGTTTTGTTAATTATAGACTTATAGAGATCTATATATATTGATGTTTCTCTAAATCTCTTTCGTTTTGATCAAGTTGTACGTTGTTGGTGTCATAACTTCTTATTCACAACACATGATGAGGTTCTTTGATGCACGGATCTTTATGTTGTCGATCAAGTTTTCAAGCGTTTAAATTATATCATTAACGTAGTCAGGCTTTGATTGTTTTAGGGAATCCCATGATATGATCAGTTTAGGGTCAAATCAGCTTGATCAATATTTAACTTATCGGACCAACATAACTTTGAATATCACTTTGGTTTAAGTTGTTTGAATTTCCATTTCAAAACCACTTGATGTATGATCAACGAGTATATGGAATGACAAGGACGAGAATATTACAAACAAACACAAACCTTCTGAAACTGTGAAAGTTAGAGATATCTGAAATTTAGTCCTAAAATTTGAAATCATCGTATTTTATGGTACAATATATAGAATTATCATTACTTTGGTGTAGGAAGTTAAGAACACAAATGAAATTTCATGACATGTATATATATTAGCAAATAACATAAATATACGTACTCTTTTTTTTTTTTTTTTGGTAACATAAATATACGTACTCTCATATATAAAACTATAACTTAATTAGCAAAGACAGACAACAATCTAAAAGATCAACATATAATTATGAAACAATTAAAAATGTTATAATTTTCCTTTTCACTGGAAATGCAAAACTATTAATAAAGTACTCGTGGAAAAGTCAGCGGGAATGTCTTTCACTAAACTCCTCCGAAAACCAAGAATAAAAACAAGAGAATGGAAAAAAATATAGAGGAAATTTCGTGGCCACATCTACCAACGAATTCGCCTCCACCACAAAACTTTGATTAGTCCATAAGAGTAGTCTACTTAATTATTTTCGATAACTTATTAACTTGGTTATGAGAACATAAAAAGAAAAAAGAAAAAAAGAAAAATGAATACTTTACGTGCTTGTCGTCATCATCAGCATGTCTTAATTATGCTTCTTGTTCTACTTCATTCCTCTCTGTTTTGTTTAGCTTCAAAGATGGATGTTTCTTATAATTATGATGAACGAAACATCATGATCGACGGTGACCAGAAACGTTTTCTCACAACTTCATCTCGACATGGCAAGGAACATGTAGCATGTACGAATCAAGAACCTGATCCCGGTCCGCTGACACGTATTTCTTGCAATGGACCTGGATATGTTATGACGAAGATCAATTTCGCTGAGTATGGTAATCCCACTGGTACATGTGGACACTTTAGACACGGCAATTGCCGCTCACAAGCGACCATGAGGATCGTCAAAAAGGTTAATTAACAAAAAAATAAACTTACATTAATGTTGGTTTCTGCCTTTTCCTTCACGTGGAGTAAAATCATAAACATTTCAATAAATCTTATTGTGCAGAATTGTCTTGGAAAAGAGAGGTGTCACCTTTTTGTTACGGACGAGATGTTCGGTCCGAGCCACTGCGAAGGAGCTCCTATGCTCGCTGTTGAAACCACTTGTACAAAAGCTTAGGTTTTCATATATATTAGTTTTCTCCCTTTTAGATCTCGTTTTGGACAAGTTTTTGTGTTTCTCGTTTTTTCCATGCTTGGATCTTTATGTTGTCGATCATCATGTTTTAAATGTTTGATCTTGGTCACTAATTTTAACCCTTCTACTTTTACATATTGACGAGATACGGATTTTTTTTTTTTTTTACTATTTATACTCTTCGATATGGAAGTGATCAAACTAATGGTGAAATCTTATCGAACCTTGCACTCTAAATATTAAATACATTAACAAGCTCGATTAAGCCTACGTGAACTACTCTATTAATAACGGCAACTTGCAGCTGTTGTGAAGTAATAACACGACATTATGAATTTTTAACTCAACTAATTAGATACAAGATAGTAGTTACGTAGTATATCAGAAGTAGTAAAAGTCTTTTATAAATCAAGAAATAGGTGGATGGATTTGTATAAAAGTATTTTATAAAAGCAGCATCACGCGTTAATTAATATGCAATTTGTGAAAATTATGATCCTTTAAGAGTTTAAGTTTAAGTTGTTTAGGAAAAAAATAACAGCTTCGACAAAAAAAAACAAAGCTGACGTCATAAAAAGAACTGGTTCGGTCTGTACGAACAAGTGTGGCCTTTCGAACCTTGACGTCAACCTAAACCCAATCAAATTCAATACGAACAACACGACAGACAACGATCGTGTGCCAAAACTCTGTTTCTCTCTAATTTTCGAATCCAATGGACCTGAATCGCAAACACAAGGTATCTCTCCTTCTTCTTCTTCTTCGATGCTGTTTTGGTCATCGATCCCTACTCTCTTTGATTGCACTGAATTATTCTCTTTCTCTCAAAATCCTCTTGTGAAATTGGTGAACATAACTGTGACTTGATACCTTGTTCGATGACAAATTATCAACTTTCAAGGAAAATTTAGGGTTCTTAATTCTTTACAGCCACTCACACTCAGATTCGGTTTAAGCTCCTTGTAGTGAAGATAAGACTCAATTTGGAATCTTAGACTATTTATAATGGAAAATGAATTAGGATTGGGAATTGAAAATTATGTTTCCGTGTGCTTCAAAGTTGTTGATCACATACACGTTCTTAAGTTGGTGAATCTGTGATTGTTAAATAAAATCTCATTAGGTGTCCCTTAGAGGCGCCAGCAGTGGGGAGATATCACGGGATGCTTTGCTTGCTAAAGTTTCACAAGAGAGGGAGCTCCGTAGTTACGCAAGACGGGCCAATGCTGCATCACTTCTTATTCAGGTTCAACTCTTTCTCTTCACTTTTGGCTCAAGTTTTTGGTATAGAGCAAAAATCTCTTTTGTTGTTGTTTTTTTTTTTTAATATAGAGCAGAGAACGTTTTTGTTCAGTTTATATGACTGTTGGTATTCAAAGAAAATGGCTAAGTTATATATATACCAAGGCATAACCTTACATAATTTTCCAATACTTGTAGAGAGTTTGGAGGTCTTATATTGTGAGAAAGAAGGCAGCTATAGAGATCCAAGAGGAGTGGGAGATTTTACTCAGTTCCCGGTCTGATACACTCACTAAAAGTTGGGTATCAAGCAGTGTCTTGAGACCGTTTCTCTTCTTTATCAGAGCTTTGTCTGTCCAACATCAAAAGATAAATGCAAGAGATATTCACTGCATGCAAACTTGCTTTAAGATTCTTTTGGAAAGCATCAACTCTAATGGTATGTTTTTTTGTTTTTTCCGCTTGATTTTGAATATTTCTTCTTGCAAATTAGGAGAGAAATAAATCTTCAGTGGATGCTGTTACCGTCTTTTGCAGATCAGGGGTTCAATTTTTGCTCACTAGCAGTTGGTACAATTGAAGAAAGTAAAACATGGGCCTGCCAAACACGAAAGATGGTTTCTCTCTGCTCCTTCCTACTCATAGAGTGTAATTATTCACAGGAGAGGATAAGAGATGTTATTGGTGTCAGTGCCCTTCTATTACGTATCCTTATCGTTTTAACTGATCCCAAAAGCTGGAAGGTCATTACAAAGGATAACTTTGAAGATGCAGAAACAGCTGGAAAGATGATGATTCAGTTTATAGGGAGCTGTAAAAGTGGATATTACTCAGCTGTTAGGAGATATATCAAGACATTAACCAAGCATACAGATGAGAGACTGTTGATTACTACAAGTGCAGTAACTTTGGCCCTACGGCCATTCCAGGTGAGACAGCCTGCTTTTGTTGATGAGAATCAACTGGACACGAATTTGGCTGTTGAAGAATACGTTTCTCTAATTTTGACGATTCCTCAACTCGTTTGCTGCCTGCCAAGTGCTCTCATACGTGCACTGAAGCACAGGAGTATACTAATGCCATGCTTTCACACTATATTGGTAAAACTCATATCAAATTGTCTTAGACCAATATTTTCCTGTCAAAGTCTCAAAAAAAGAATGTAGAGAGATTCTGATTGACTTTTTTGAATCTCTGTTACTTTTTCCTGTTTACATTTTTCCCCAAACAATCGAAGGACTTATTAAAGTGTGGCAGGTGACAGCAGATTTTGAAGGACAAAATCTTGACTAGGATATCAGAAATGGAGCATTTAGAGAATCAAAGTTGTACCATGGAGATTCCTTCTGTTGGTTGGGCTATCGGGAACATCATATCCCTGGCAACCGTTAGTGAAACCGATTTTATGGATCCACAAGAATCAAATCCAGAGTTGTTTTATGTCTTGTATGTTCGTGTTATTGTGACTCTGTCCGAGAACCTCTTGTCTCAGGTTGAAAAGGTTGGAATTCGAGATACTCATCTTGATACTGAGGCCACATCGAAGACTGGAAAAGGAGAAAATTCAGTTAAGATTTCTTTTGTGGAATTGCTTCGGCCAGTTTGCCAACAGTGGCATCTCGCAAAACTTTTGGCAGTTTCTGGGAAAGAAATTCGTGTTATAGCAGATAAAGATGCTTCGACGAGTAGTAAGAAAGCATCAGAAGCACTAGGATTGCTTGATATAGCACGATTATATTCGTGCATGTTGAGAATCTTCTGCGTGCTTAATCCTGTTGTAGGGCCTTTGCCTGTCCTTAACATGATATCCTTCTGTCCTGGATATATTGTCTCTTTGTGGAATTCTCTAGATAGTGTCCTACTACCTAAAAATGGTTGCACTGCTGACGACTTATCTCATGGATCTGTTAAAAGTTCATGGAATACAAGAAGTCCATCTGAGAAGAAGTTGAAACATCTTAAGAATGATGGTGTCAACAGGTGGGTGAACGTGCTAAACAAGTTTTCTGGTAAATCACCAGGACCGCGTGAACATGTGGAGTGTACTAGTGATCAACCAGAATCAAGCCAGGTTAATGAGTCAACTGATGATGTATGGGATGTAGAAACTCTGAGGGGTGGTCCTGTAGGTATCTCCAAAGACGTGTCATGCCTGCTTCATCTCTTTTGTGCAACTTATGCCCATTTACTCGTTGTTCTTGATGACATACAGTTTTATGAAAAGCAGGTAAGTATGCAATATGGTTTCCTGCAGCTTATATGTTATCAGTCTGATATTTATTGAAGGTTTGTTTTGGCATATAGGTCCCCTTTATGCTAGAGAAACAACGGAGAATTGCATCAATGCTTAATACACTCGTGTACAATGGATTGTTGCGAGGCACTGGTCCTGAAAATAGACAACTGATGGATTCTGCTATCAGATGTTTGCATTTATTGTACGAAAGAGATTGCAGGCACCCTTTTTGTCCTTCTGCCCTGTGGCTCTCACCTGGTAAAACTAGTAGACCTCCAATTGCATTTGCTGCCAGAACTCATGAGGTTTTACCAGCCAGTGATGTTGTTACGTCTCCAAGCATGGGTTCTGTTATAACAATTACTCCGCATGTTTTTCCATTTGAGGAAAGGTAATCTTACCTTGCTTACCCTTCATAGCCTATCCATGTCTTTTTTCTTTTGTGCTACAATATCTAACCATTTCATGTCTCCTCATTTCTCTTTATCTGTTTTTATCCGTTAACTGATGTTTATTTATATGTTTTGTTATTCCTGCAGGGTCCATGTGTTTAGAGAATTTATAAGCATAGATAAAGCTTCAAGGAAAATGGCTGGTGAAGTGGATGCACCTGGTGCGAGGTCAATAGAGATAGTTGTTCGTCGAGGTCATGTGGTTGAAGATGGATTTCGACAACTGAATTCTATTGGCAGCAGGCTAAAATCATCCATTCATGTATCGTTTGTGAATGAGTCTGGCCTTCCTGAGGCAGGCCTAGACTATGGTGGGCTTTCAAAAGAGTTTCTGACTGACATAACAAAAGCAGCTTTTGCTACAGAGTAAGCTCTTCCGTATACATACTTTATTCTAATTTATGTTTACTAATCCAATGGATTAAGTTTTTTTTTTATTCGCGTTTTCATTGTATTATTGTCCAATAGGTATGGTTTGTTCTCGCAAACCCCTACTTCAGATAGGTTGCTTGTTCCTAGCCCATCTGCACGACACCTTGAGAACGGGGTTCAGATGATTGAGTTTCTTGGAAGAATTGTTGGAAAGGCTCTATACGAGGGAATACTGCTGGATTACTCTTTTTCACATGTTTTCATCCAGAAGCTTTTGGGACGTTATAGCTTTATTGATGAACTATCCGGGCTTGATCCAGAACTCTACAGGAACCTCATGTATATAAAGGTAAAAACCGTTGCAGGTGATATATCTGTCACCTTATTTTTTCAAAATTCAATCTTGCGTAAGTATCACAAGAGGGTTTCTAAGATCAAGATGCTTGTTTATACGCAGAATTATGATGGTGATTTGAAGGAACTATGTCTGGATTTCACAGTCACTGAAGAGTTTTGTGGAAAAATGAGCATAATTGAGCTCAAACCCGGTGGGAAGGATATTTCAGTCATGAATGAGAATAAAATGCAATATATTCATGCAATGGCTGACTACAAACTCAACCGGCAGGTATGTCTTTTACTCATTTATAAATAATCTAAAGGTCAACCATCCTGCAAAACATATTTACTTCATAACTAATGAGGTAAAGATGTTGTCCTGTGTCTTGAATGCAGATTGTGCCCTTTTCAAATGCATTTTACAGAGGATTGACTGACCTTATATCTCCTGCTTGGCTGAAACTATTTAATGCCCATGAATTTAATCAGGTATGCGGCTTTAATATAATGCTTTGTAGAGTTTTTCATATCTTCAATGTAATGATCTCTTTTACAAAGCTTTGCTTACAAAAATTGCACTGCAGTTACTCTCGGGGGGAAACCATGATATCGATGTTGATGACCTGAGGAGGAATACAAAATACACTGGTGGTTACAGTGATAGCAGTCGAACAATCAAAATCTTCTGGGAGGTGATAACTCATATTCAGAAGCCCTGATCTCTTCTTTTTCTTCCTATTTTCTCTGCCAATTTAAGACATAGGCTGAGAGTTGAGTGGGCTCGTCTAACTTCTCTCGGGGCTTCCTTTCTCAGGTCATGAAAGGGTTTGAACCGAATGAGCGTTGCTTGCTCCTCAAATTTGTTACTAGTTGTTCACGGGCACCACTCCTTGGTTTCAAATACTTGCAGCCAACCTTCATCATCCATAAAGTGTGTTAACGTTAGCTTATTATGTTGTTGTGACATTCTGTTTGGTACTTTTTCTTACAACTGTGCTTTTTCATCTTCCGCAGGTCTCTTGTGACACTTCTCTTTGGGCTGCAATTGGAGGACAAGATGTAGAAAGGCTTCCATCTGCTTCCACGTGCTACAATACTCTTAAGGTGGAGTGTCAGTTCTTCTGTTTCCAATGTTGTCTACTTGTGAAGATTCCTGTATCTTTTTTGTTCAGTCTTTCTTTGTTGATTGCTTCAGCTTCCAACGTATAAACGAGCAAGCACTATGAGGGAAAAACTATTGTATGCGATTACTTCAAATGCAGGGTTTGAACTCTCGTAGAATGGCCAGGTATTCATCTTGTGTTGCAACTAGATCTTTTATCCGTCATTCGATTCAATATTTATATGGCTTCTGTCAGTTAAATTTGTAGGGCTGGTGTAAACTGTGTGTTTGGTTTATCTTAAGACTATGGGAACTTGGTTCTTCTTGGTAGTTGACTAGTTGGATATGATAATCAACTCAGCTGATATGGAATCTTTTAAAATTTTATATGTCTAGCCAAACCTGAATTTATTATGCTGTTCACATAGCAGCAAACTTTGATTTATATACACCTTTACAGCTGTACCAAAATTCTTGCTGTAGTTAACTTTAGAGATATTAAAGAGATAGATTAGGCAAAAGATCAAAGATTGTGATATTCTCAAACGAAGCTTGGACCTATAGACCGATCACAGTCACACACACCAGATCGGTACTTTCTACTTTCAGTCACACACGCACACCCAATCTGTCTCTTATTTATGAGTTTATATAGAGAGTGAGAGAAAAAGAACAAGAGAGAAGAGAGAAGAGAGAAAGAGACACACACACTTTGGTAGCCATTTGTAAGTATACAGTTTGACTTCAATCCACCTGGGATGAAACTCAATTCAAGAGATTAGAGAAATCCCTTGACCCAGTAGTTGTCCAGCCAACAGCTCGTTTACAGCCTCCGTGGGGTGAAATCCATCCCAAAACACATATCCTGTGGCATTTACACACGTTCCTAGGGATAGAGAATTGCAAAGGAACGATGTTTCTATTGTTCCTGTTCCGCAGCATGCCCTTTTTGTTTCAAAGAATCCTAGAATACATGCAGTTTAAGACATTTAAAAAGATGTTAATGGTATCTTCTTAGTTGTAAACTAGATTAATTATCGGCGAAGTTCCGTGTGAGTAGCTCACTTTATCGCGGGTTAAAGTTGAATGAAGATTTAAATTTTGCATATGCAGGCTCGTACCATTGTCAATTGGGTTGGTGATGATGTCCAGGAAAGGCTGGTAGACATTAAAGGCGACGATCTTGAGGCCTGAGTGTCTATTCATCAATAACTGGGTTGTGGCCTCAAGTTTGGTGTTGAACATGACAGCATCGTGGTTCAGTCTCTCGACACAATTTTTGTTTCCTGCACCGAAAAGAGTAATAGCTGCAGGCAGGCAACCCATTGGCGGTAGCGATATCACTCCGATTCTCCTTGCTCCTAGTTCATACAGATTCTGTTACAAGTGACAGTATGATTCTTGTTGACACAAAAAAGGGTAAATAACTGATACGTTTTTTTGTTTCTTGTAAATTTACACATTCATATGGTTGCCTTGTTATGAATATTGATTTCTACAGTTAGTTAATAAACTTGGAAGTACCTGGATGAATTCTGAGTAGGATCTTATAAGAATGTCAGAGAACTGATCAGGTGTATTGAGGATGTTGAGTAGAGGATTGACGTAGTAGTTCTGAAGGAAGTCGCTAGATCCTGCGCTCAAAATGTGGATTCCTCTAGAGAATAGCATTCGTGCGTTCTCCCTCCCGATCATTCTCGTTACTCTGTTTTGATATGCCCTGTAATAGCTCAGCTGTCGGGTTAAGGAGATGGCGCCCTGCAAAAGGAAGTCAAAATCTTGTGGATCATTCCACGTGCATGTGTGTGTGTGTTGATGTTTTACTGTGTTGTCTCTCTTACAAACGGAACAGATGTGGCATCATAGTATCCTGAAGAAGCTGATGCAAAATTGGCGCCAATCAGGAAGTTCTCGTTCCTTGCTTCGCGGCTTAGGAATGCAGGTGGGTATGAAGAGAAGCCAAGGTACTCAGCTAAACACGAGTTGGAAGATAAAAAAAAAACAATTAGATTAGGGAGGGAGAGAGAGATGTGGTCTTGTGAATATGAATTTACCTGAGAAATCAACAGCCAGTTTTCCATTGCAGAATCTTCCGGTGGGTCTTTGGTTGATGAAGTCTCTGCCGTAAGGAGGAAAGTTGGATTTGACAATGCTGAGTAAGTTATTGTTGTTGCCAACGTCAACAATGGAATCACCAAAAATGATGAGTGCAGGAACAATAGCTCCTTTGGCTTGACAGAAGAAACAAGAAAGCAAGACAAGAACCGTAAACCCTGAAACTCTCATCTCTTTCATTCCTTTTCCTTCTTATGCAATCAGACCGTTAGGACAAAGAAAGAAGAGAGAGAGAGTGATCGATAGTTATTAGTGGGGAAGAAAATGAAGAGTTAAAGAAGATGATGCACTGTATAATAATATAATCATTCTCCCCATGCTTGTGGTTAAGATAAAGAAAAAGCATTTCCTAGTGCAAAAGAGTAGGTGAAAATTGTATGTGAGGTCAGTTTCTTTGGTCATTGGTCTTGGACCATGAGCAATACTAATTTTTCATCCCGGATTCGAAACCAAAACTTCCATCAAAGTGCGGTTTCAGTTGAGTCAAGTTGACAAGGTCTCCCTTGATCCAATTTGAACCTCACGCCAATTGATTGTCTTGATTGATTGATGAGTTCTTCAGTAAACTAATTTAGGTTCTTGGTTAACCTTTGGAAGGCATGGATATAAGTTATCGAGAGTATTCAAGTTTTCTTGGTAAGAAATGATTTGTTTGGAAAACAAAGTTGAATAATGGCAAAATATCATTATAACAAAGTGTGAGCTCCACCAACTTTTTGTAATAATGTCTCAGGTAATGTGGCATCCACTTTGTGCACCTCAAAGATTGTGTGTGGTTTTTTCTACTTCAGTTTTCGCTCAAAGATTTGTGGTTAAGCCATCATAGTTTTTTTTTTTAGTAATGTGCTTAAGCCATCATGGTTTTTTTAATATTTCTGTATACTTTGTTCAAAAGCTTACCAAATATTATTTTAAAAGGAAGATGTTTTGGCCATACTAAAAATCTCTACTTGATTACGAGACCCAAACACACAAATTTTGGACTGTTGCCTCATGCTTGTTGGGCATGTTTACAAACTGTAATGTGTTAAGTCTTTGTATCATAAACAAAACAAAGATGATTAATCAAAATATGCTAAAGCCGAAGCGACACCACGCACTTGTGGTTTCAAAATGCTAATGGACTTTCACAACCTCTAGATGGGCTTCTTATAAAAACTAAAGCCCAAAATGATTTAGTTGGTTCGTTCTCGAATTACTCGAACGATGCTAGAAATGAACTTCCCCAGTAAATTCCACGTTTTTACTTGTAGCTTAAATTTAACGTCTAATACCATCTCCAATGGTGAGAATCCCATGAAGGGTTCTCACCTTTTTTTTAAGAATAAATTTTGTTTTTATCAATTTTCAGAACTTGAAAAGGGATTATTAAGTTTCATCTTCTCCAATGGTTAGATAATAGAATTCTTTGAAATAAAATTATATTTTGCAAAACAATACAGCTTAGTGATTTCTTGAACCAATTGAATCCTTACCCTCATCACCTCTCATTGACCTGAAACTCACTAAAAAAGAATTATTACCACATATACTGATTCAATCGACAGATTTACAACACAAGATTGTTCCAATCAATAATCAAGCAAAATCTGACGACAAAAAAAAAAAAAAAAAAAAAAAATATCAAGCAAAATCAACAAACCGTTTCAATCAAAGACGAGTAAAACGTAGTTGATCTACTTGTTAACAGCGGCTTCGCAATGCCTCTGTCGATTTGAGAGCAAATCTCATTTGATTTGGAGAACCGACTCTCAAAATAAATAGATATTTTTGATTTATTTTGGATCAAATTAATGTTCAGAACCTCGTTAGAGAGCTCCAAAGGGAGCTGTCCTAACTCTAAAAACAAACCGAATTACATATAGACAAAATCAAAACAAACCGAATTACATATAATAAATTGTAATTTCCTTTTTTTTTTCAACAAGCTAATTTTCCATTTTTATTTAGTAGCTTCAGATTAACGTCAGTAAATTTCCAAATTTTACCAGTAGCTTCAAAATAAAGCAGCATGTTTCTTATTTATAATGAGTTCTTTTTGCTTTCACCTTTCTCCCCCAATTTGTCTCCGACATCAAACACAACACAATCGTTCGTCGTCTCCGTTCTCTCTGATTCTCTCATTCGTGAATTCTATATCCCACAGGTTCTACTTCTTTCTTAATCTCAGCTCTTTCACGAGTTAATGGAAGCTGATGAGGTCTCTGCTTCATTTGATTTTTTCTGAAATTAGTCGATTTTGGTTTCTAATTTGTATGTTTTTTTTGTTTGGCTTCAGCTATGGCGGATACTGTAGAGAAAGTTCCCACCGTTGAGTCATCAACTTCCTCCTCCGTGGAAGCACCTATTACCGCCGAGAAGACTGAGCCCACGACGGAGAAGACAAAATGGGGAGATGTTGAGGATGATGATGAAGAGGAAGCAGTATCGGAACTCAATTCTCTGACCATTAAGGAGGAAGAGAAACTTGATTCTGTGCTTGAAGAACCTGAAGATTCAAACATCAAAGCGGTACTATCTCCTTCTTCTTCTTTTTTGCTTTCCCCTTAGTAGATTTAGTGAATTGTGTTGAATTTTTGCTTAATCGAGCTTAGATCTGGGTTTTGCTACAAGTAATTAGGGTTTGTTTGGATCGGTAGTTCATGGGATAATAGCGATAACAGTGTAATTAGATAATTCCAGATTTGTAGGGGATGATTTTGATTTTCTCGGGATATTGTAGGTTACTTCTGGTGATACACCATATACATCAGCAAGCAGGTTTGAGGATTTGAACTTATCTCCGGAGTTGATGAAAGGCTTATACGTGGAGATGAAATTCGAAAAGCCTAGCAAGATTCAAGCTATCAGTTTGCCCATGATTATGACGCCGCCTCACAAGCATCTCATTGCTCAGGCGCATAACGGATCTGGAAAGACGACTTGTTTCGTTCTTGGGATGTTGAGTCGGGTTGATCCGACACTGCACCAGCCTCAGGCGCTCTGCATTTGTCCCACTAGAGAATTAGCTAATCAGGTTTGTTTTTTTTCAGTTACTCCATTGGCTTATTATGATTTGAGAGTAACTTGATTGTTGACCCGGGAAAATGTGTTGGAAGCTTAATTTTTTTATGTTTGTTGAATGATTGAATGGCAGAATATGGACGTTCTTCAGAGGATGGGGAAGTTTACTGGGATCACTGCTGAATTGGCTGTGCCAGAGACAAGAGGAGGTGCACCGGCCCCGAGACGAGCTGCTGTTACTGCTCATGTGGTGATTGGTACACCTGGAACGCTTAAGAGGTGGATGTCATTTAAGAAACTTGGTCTCGATCATTTGAAGATTCTTGTTTTTGATGAGGCTGACCATATGCTTGCTACGGTATGCTCTTTCTTCTGTTTACTTGGTTTTATTAGTTTCTCAACTGTAATGATGAACTTCTGTATATTGTGATAATATTTTCCCTTCATATGTTGTTGATAACTGGAAAGTTCATTGCTATTGCAGGATGGCTTTAGAGATGATTCCTTGAAGATAATGAAAGACATTGGGAGAGTTAATCCCAATTTCCAGGTCAGTTAAACTAGCATTTTGTTTATGCTTCTTAAATGATAAGTAAGATGACAAATGATAGTGGGATATGTACCTTAGTAAATATATACAATTCAGCTGTGTTTTTTTTGTATAGAGCCCTTTATTTTGATAGGACATGTCTGTGTGTCAACGATGATGAATCTGTCTTCACTGCTGAAAGCTGTACTAAAGATGGGTTATTTCATTATCTTAGTGGCTGTTAGTCTAAATTAAAGGAAATTATGTTGCTTTTTCGTTCTTGTGCCAATTTTGATTGTTTTCTTGTGTTATTGACCTTCTTTCTGACAGGTTCTACTTTTCTCGGCAACTTTTAATGAAACTGTCAAAGATTTTGTGGCAAGGACAGTCAAGGATCCTAATCAATTGTTTGTCAAAAGAGAGGATCTGGCTTTGGACTCGGTAAAGCAGTTTAAAGTTCTTTGCCCGAAGGAGCAAAACAAGATCGAAGTCATTAAGGATCAGATTATGGAACTTGGGGATATTGGGCAAACCATTATCTTTGTGAAAACAAAAGTGTCTGCTAACAAGGTCCACAAAGCCCTTGCAGAAATGGGATATGATGTCACCAGTGTCCATGGTAGTATGTCTGAAGTGGACAGGGATAAGATAGTTAAGGAGTTCAAAGACTGCCTTACTCAAGTGCTAATTGCTACTGATGTCATTGCAAGAGGTTTTGACCAACAGCGGGTAAATATTATCATTTGGCCCTTTTACTCTCTTCTCCTTTTTCCCCAATGGTGCTTCGTAGTTAATGCCTCTTGCTGGTTTTATACAATACTTGCAGGTGAATTTGGTTGTCAATTACAATCTTCCCACCAAATATGAGACCGGAGAGCCAGATTATGAGGTGTACCTTCACAGGGTTGGGAGAGCTGGCCGGTTTGGTCGTAAAGGTTAGTTTTGATTCGTCCATTTTTTTAAACTCAAGTGTTGCCACAAGTTGTCATAAGTTTCTGAACTATGTATTTGTATTGTAGGAGCGGTATTTAACCTGCTGTTAGACGATGGGTGGGATAAAGAGGTGATGGAGAAGATCGAGAAGTATTTTGGAGCAAATGTTAAGGAGGTATAATAAGATTTATGAAAACTGCTAATTATCTTTCTATAGTGTTTGTGAAAACAGTATCCAATGATTTTAAACTTTACTGCAGATCAAGTCGTGGAACTCAGAGGACGAATACAAGGGTGCGTTAAAGGAAGCTGGCCTGCTCGACGAGTGAGAAAGAGGGACAAAATGTGTTCAAAAAGTTTGAAGGACTGTCGTCTGTTTTTTTGAGATTGTTGAAGAAAGAAACTTGTATACGTCTTTGGGTTTTCTTGTAATCTTTCTATCAGATTGCTGAGATTTTCAGACTTTGTAGTTTTTTATAAAGGAAAAAACAAACATAATTTTGATGTCAATGTCAATCACTTTTACAACATCGGATAAGGAGTCATAAGACACAAAACCAAGACTTTGGTTTGTGATGAGTTCAATGTGCAAGGCTTATTAATTCAGATATTTGAGGTTTTAGCAGCAAGGTGAATCAATGCTCTTCGATGATATGTAGTTCGCAGCTTCTTGAATTTCTGTACAAATGCTGCTGTATCAATCTCCTTCTCTAGGAATTTCTCTTGCAGCGCTTCAGATTCTTCATCCACCTGATTCATAGCCTCTGCAAAAACAGTAAAATGTGTTTACAAATGTTGACACAAGAACAGTTGAGAAGAAGAGACGAGTGGAAAATCCATAGCAATGGAAATTTGTTACCTTGGAGTTTATGAAGAAGAGAACCAGGGGAGTAGAATTTGAGGATCTCTTCTTTTTGCCTCTCAAGCTCATTAAGCTTTTCTTGCGCGGCTGCGAGCTCAGTTGTACGGATAATTCTGCACTGTAAAAGAAGTAAGGATTGGTAAATAAGAGATATCAAAAAGGTACACTGAACAAGAAAAGTTGGTTCTTGATACACACTTGGTTCCTGAGCTCCATTATCTGTGGCTCCTTCTCCAAGTTCTCTCCTGTTTCATGTGATCACATGAACAATTATTAGAATCCTGGATTGAACTAAAGTTTCTTGTAGAATGACATCAACCATAGAGAACTTACTAGCTATCTGCAATGTTTCTCTGCGGAGCTCCTCTTTTATCTGATGGACAGAAACAAACAAGGAACAATTAACGTCCAGAGACTATAAAAAAGAACTAGAAAGCTCTAATTACTGGCAACATATAAAAGATGATGCTATGATAAAAAGGCTAAAATCACCACATAACTAACTAAGCTACAGTCTTAAAACTAAAGACAATACGCGTTATTAAGAAACAACAGACTGTTCTAAAGACTTACATTGTTCTGTATTTTGACCTGGTCAAGTGAAAGCAGAAATTGCTGATACGCATCTTTGTCAGAGAGAAGCTTCCTAAGCTCGTCCACGCTACAGAAAAGTATACGCTAACGCTATTTAAAAAAAAAAAACAGACAAAAAACCGCATTACACGAGAAGCATAGTAAACAGCGAACCTTTTATCTTTCAAGAAGGCAATAATGCCAGCTGCTTCCCCAGGCGACACATTTGCTGGAATCTGACCTGAAGTTTGAGGCCGGGATGAGCTTGGCGAGCTGACTAAAGAAGGTGAGTACCATGGCGATTGTGAAGAAGCTTCCGGAGGACGAGATGTCCCTTGTTGTTGTTCTTTTGATCCCCTTGATGTACACAACAAAAAGAAACGTCATCAATTACTAAACACAAAGGCGATGCTACAACATCCAAGACATAAATTTGAATAGGTGCTTAAGGGCACAGCTAAAAGAACAAAAAATACTTCTTCTGATCAGATTCACATCACTGAAACAACCAAGATGCAAAACATAGAGACTCATCAACCTAACTCTCACATGAACTACAACATTTTAAATCCAATAACAGCAACTATGAACCTCAAATCAGTAACTGAGCAAATAATCTACACTAAAGTGCTCTTAGAAAAACGCACTCTTCAATTGTTGATCACAGCTCAAATTTTTTTGGCGAACCAACTTTACATAACAACCTAATAATATCCTTAATCGTGAACAGATCTAATTTCCGTAGCTCAAGTATCCGAATTTCATAAAAATCAAACAGAGCATATATGAAACAGATTGCGAAAAATTCGCACAATCACGGAAACACAATAAGATTGTAAGAGTTGGTATTACCAGAAATTGAACATCGTTTCAAGAAATCGCCGACCAAATCAAAGGAGAATTGACTTTCGTATTGAGCAAAACTCGAATCTTTCTACTTCCTTCTTCCTTAGCAGATCGACAAAAATATTAACAACTTAAATCCCGAAACCAGAGACCTCCGTGTTTAAGAGAGTTTCAACGAAAATTCCAATTCTTCGATCTTCTCCGTTTCATTTCAGTTTTTTTTTTTTTTTGGTTCCTGCTCTCTAAAAGGCCCAAATACGAATATTTTAGGCCCATATTAACTCTTTTTTTTTGGTTGAATAGGCCCATATTAACTGTCCAAGCGGTACCGTTTCGAACATCGTCGTCCTTATCCACGTCTAACGGCTCGCGTTTCCTATATAGTACATACACAGAGTCTTCACCGAAGCTTCGAAAAGAGCTCCTCATCAATGGAGTCTTCTCTCTTTTCTCCATCTTCCTCTTCTATATTCACTGCAAAATCTACGCTTCTTTCTTCTCCAAAACCCAAATTCTTCTCTTTCTCTATCAAATCTTCAATAGAGAAACCTAAACCCAAGCCCAAACTAGAGACAAGTTCATCAAAATCCCAGTCATGGGTCAGCCCCGATTGGCTCACATCTCTTACTCGTACCCTTTCCTCAGGTAAAAACGACGATTCGGGCATACCAATCGCGAGCGCGAAGCTCGACGACGTCTCTGACCTCCTCGGAGGAGCTCTCTTCTTACCTCTATACAAATGGATGAACGAGTACGGACCCATTTACCGTCTCGCTGCTGGTCCTCGAAATTTCGTGGTCGTGAGTGACCCAGCGATCGCTAAACACGTTTTGAGGAACTATCCTAAGTACGCTAAAGGCTTAGTCGCTGAAGTCTCTGAGTTCCTTTTTGGTTCGGGTTTCGCAATCGCTGAAGGTCCTCTTTGGACGGTAATTTCATCTTCTTCAATCTCTATTATGATATTAGTGGAATCATTGAAGTAATGTGGCACTCTCTTGTGTTATAAGTAACCTTGAATCTGGAATTAGGTTCCAATCTTCTCAATTGGTATCAGTTTTGTACCAATTTGAACCATTGAATTCTGATTTTTGATATATAGGCGAGGCGAAAAGCGGTGGTTCCGTCCCTTCACAGGAGGTATTTGTCTGTGATTGTGGAGAGAGTATTCTGCAAAAGTGCAGAGAGGCTTGTTGAGAAGCTGCAGCCTTATGCAAAGGATGGAAGTGCTGTGAACATGGAAGAGAAGTTCTCTCAGTTGACACTTGATGTTATTGGCTTGTCACTTTTTAACTACAATTTTGATTCTTTGACTACCGATAGTCCTGTCATTGAAGCTGTTTACACTGCTCTTAAAGAAGCTGAGCTTCGTTCTACTGATCTTTTACCATATTGGAAGGCAAGTTTTGTGTGTTTTTACATGTGGTTTGTTGATTGCGGCACATTTGGATTCTTGTCAATTTAGAGGCTTTGGTTGTTTTTTTCAGATCGATGCATTGTGTAAGATTATACCGAGACAGGTGAAAGCTGAAAAGGCTGTAACTTTGATAAGGGAAACTGTGGAAGACCTTATTTCCAAGTGCAAAGAAATTGTTGAAAGAGAAGGCGAAAGAATCAATGATGAGGAATACGTAAATGATGCTGACCCTAGTATCCTTCGTTTCTTGCTCGCAAGCAGAGAAGAGGTTTAACTTTTTTCCCTTCATTCCATTAGCAAGCTTGGCCATTCATTATTGCAAACTGAAGCTGATATTAGATTGTACCGGGTTTTTTCAGGTGTCAAGTGTGCAGTTACGAGATGATCTTCTCTCCATGCTTGTCGCGGGTCATGAGACCACCGGATCTGTTCTCACTTGGACACTTTATCTCCTAAGTAAGGTACCTTTTGGTATCTTATACTTTGCCACTTGAAAGGGAGCTTCTCTGATCTCATTGATGGGTAAATGTTTGCCTCTTTAAACTTATATATGTGCATATAGAACTCATCTGCATTGGCGAAAGCACAAGAAGAAGTAGACCGAGTTTTAGAGGGAAGAAACCCGGCTTTTGAGGATATAAAGGAGTTGAAGTACATTACTCGTTGTATAAACGAGTCAATGCGTCTCTACCCTCATCCTCCTGTAAGCAATCAAGCTCATTTCTCGAATTATTCATGAACTAAATTTACTGATTGCTTTATTTCCTGGTAGGTCTTGATTAGAAGAGCTCAAGTTCCAGACATTCTTCCAGGGAACTACAAGGTTAATACCGGACAAGACATTATGATTTCAGTCTATAACATCCATCGTTCTTCCGAGGTACAGTTCTCTTTCCTTCATTTAGGGGATCCCATTCTGGTATCAGTTTGGATTTTTCGGTTCTTGTTTTGGTTAGGATATATAACTTGCATGGACACCCCTAATATTACATTCATGCCCACAATTCTTATGTGTTTGTAATTACGAAGGTATGGGAAAAAGCCGAGGAATTTCTGCCTGAACGATTCGAATTAGAAGGCGCAATCCCTAACGAAACAAACACCGATTTCAAGTAAACTCACTAGTACTCTTGTTTCGACAAACTATTAAAAAGCAAGGTAATATTGGGATTACAAATGTTAAAGATGATTTGCATTTCACCAGATTTATACCGTTCAGTGGAGGGCCTAGAAAATGTGTAGGCGATCAGTTTGCATTGATGGAGGCAATTGTGGCACTCGCGGTGTTTCTCCAGCGGTTAAACGTGGAGCTGGTTCCTGATCAGACCATTAGCATGACCACTGGAGCAACCATTCACACCACCAATGTATGACAATGTTCACCGACTAAAGAAAATTAATCAGACTCTGTTTCTTTTTTGATATAGAATCATTCCAAGTTTTCTGATGCTGAATTTTTTTCTTTAATTGCAGGGATTGTATATGAAAGTGAGCCAAAGGTAAAACCAGGATGTAGAGGATGAAATTGATTTCTGCTTTTATCTGTCTTTATGATCATTGATTGTTTTTTGTTAACACCTTTATTATTTGTTGTTGATGGATATGTTTTATATACAAGTATAGTAGTCTAGATATAACGACAAACAGAATTATGGAGTTTTGGAGTTCGAGAGAAAAACAAAACAAAACAACTCAATTGTATCATATCGGGAATGTGAAAACAGTGTATGTGACTGTGCTACCAGTCATAGTATTTATCGGAAAATGTGAAAGTTGAACAGTGATATGCTACAATTACCAGTAAAGTTTTGGTAATTGTTTTATCATTTCAAAACCAAGTGCCATACAACACAACTTGGTGTGTTTTTCTGTTTCCTTGCACTACCAATATGGAGTATCTGTTTTGTTCGTTTTCATCAATCAGTCTCATAATTACTAAATCATATACTACCATTTCTTTCATTGCACTCACAACATTATTACTATAGTATAACTGTTTTTTTTTTATATATATCGTTTGTAAAACACTTTTAAACTTGAAGACCAAACCAGTTTAACTAGTGTATAAAACTTTTTCCCTGGGAAATTTATTATAGTGTGTAATGTATCATAGATTCATAGATCTAATACGTTTTATCGAAGCTTTCAATTGATTGAGAAAGTACAAAATGTAAAAACAATAAAAGAAGGTAACAAAAATATATTTATCAAGGCAAAATATCTAGATTCTAGCAATAATTAATTTTAAACACCCAGGCCAAAAGTATACTATTTTAAAGCTTTTTCAATAACTTCAATAATATAATTACTTTAGAATATTAAATAAAACTGTAAGAAACTAAAGTATAACTAAAACCCACTAGGACCATATATGTAATATTATCCTCAGTCCTTTACGTATGAACGTATCATATAAAACCATTACTAGTGGTCCTTTAGCGGAGTGAGGTGATTCACTTTCACGGACGGGAAAATGGAGAAGGAAAGCTCGGAAAGCAGAAACAGAGCTCGTCTCGCCATTATGGAGCTGGCCAACATGATTAGCGTTCCCATGTCCCTCAACGCTGCCGTGAGACTAGGCATCGCCGACGCTATTTGGAACGGCGGGGCCAACTCTCCTCTCTCCGCCTCCGAGATCCTCCCTCGCCTCCTTATCCCATCTGCCACTACCACCGGCGGCGATCCTGAGAATCTCCAACGTATACTTCGAATGCTCACCAGCTACGGTGTCTTCTCTGAACACCTTGTTGGCTCCAGCGAGAGGAAATTTTCTCTTACGGACGTTGGAAAGACTCTCGTCACTGACTCTGATGGCCTCTCTTACGCAGCCTACATCCTCCAACACCACCAGGTCTCTTCATTTTTAATGGTTTTTGTTTTGTTGTTTTAGTTTATGTTTATCACTACCATTTTGGTTGGTTTGTTTGGTTGGCTAATGTTACATGGGAACCCAAATATCATATCCTTCACAAATCTCGTGATTAGTCTAGATTTCGGTATGAATGCTCCGGTTATATTTTTTAAGTGGTTTTCGTTTCGTTGTTTTTAGTTTACCTCTACCATTTTTAGGATTGGCTAATGCTTTATATGGCTAATGCTTTATATGGGAATATATTACATTTTCACGAATCTCGAGATTAGTCTAGATATGATATTTGTGTGTAAAAATGACATATTGTAGGAAGCGTTGATGCGAGCATGGCCGCTAGTTCACACGGCGGTGGTGGAGCCCGAGACGGAGCCGTACGTGAAAGCCAACGGCGAGGCGGCATACGTGCAGTATGGGAAAAGCGAGGAGATGAACAGTCTGATGCTCAAGGCAATGTCCGGGGTATCCGTACCGTTCATGAAAGCTATATTGGAAGGCTACGAAGGGTTTAAGAGCGTTGAGCGTTTGGTGGACGTAGGAGGTAGCGCAGGGGATTGTCTCCGCATGATCCTTCAACACTTTCCTAATGTCCGTGAAGGGATTAATTTTGATTTGCCTGAAGTTGTTGCCAAAGCCCCCAATATTCCTGGTAAGTTTAATATCTGTAATAAAATAAGAAAAAAGAATCTCTGTCTTTTGTAACGTAGTAATTAATAATGGATGGATGATATTTTTTTTTTGTATTGTATAGGAGTGAGTCACGTGGGTGGGGATATGTTCCAATCAGTTCCTAGCGGTGACGCTATCTTCATGAAGGTTTGTGGTATACATTATTTGTCACGAGAATACCAACCTAGCTACTATTTTTTCCATATAGGACGAATACTGATTTCTATATATAGACAGTCTGTTTAAGGTTA